GTAGCCTATGTCGCGTCTTTAGCTGTTCTTATCATGGACGCCGCTATGGGCTCAGCGTCCAACACACATAGCTCAACATATTTCGACACGGTTGTGTTTCTCACTATGTTCATTCTTGCCGGGCGGTTCATGGAAGCGTACAGCAAGGCAAAGACCGGGGATGCGGTCGCATCTCTTGGAAAGCTGCGTCCGACAGAGGCTTTGTTGAGGATCAACGCAAGTGACACAGACCTACCCGGTGACGAAAACAGACTTGCGGAAGATGGCTATGAGCGGATCAACATTGACTTGCTAGAAATTGGGGATGTAGTTAGCATACCTCACGGCGCCTCACCACCTGCGGACGGTGTCGTCGTTGGGGCTGCTTCATATCAGTTCGATGAAAGCTCGTTGACAGGAGAGTCGAAACCAGTCCACAAGTCAGCAGGTGATCAAGTTTACACCGGATCTGTGAACGTCGGGCAGCCCGTCGAAGTTAAGGTCACTGCAATCGGGGGCTCCTCGATGCTGGATCAGATCATCTCCGTGGTGCGAGAAGGTCAGAGCAGACGTGCACCGCTGGAACGGGTTGCGGATCTATTGACCTCTCACTTCGTCCCAATCATCACCCTGATCGCCATTCTGACCTTCGTCATCTGGCTGGCTCTCGGCCTTTCGGGGACACTGCCCGATGATTACCTTGACGTTTCACGCGGCGGTTGGACATTCTGGGCATTGGAGTTTGCGATCGCAGTGTTCGTCGTGGCCTGTCCTTGTGGTCTGGCACTCGCCGCCCCCACGGCACTTTTCGTTGGCGGCGGACTAGCTGCTAAGCAGGGTATTTTGGTCAAAGGAGGAGGCGAGGCGTTCCAAGAAGCGAGCCGACTCGACGCCATTGTGTTCGACAAGACGGGAACCCTCACAGAGGGCGGCAGCTTGCAGGTATCCGAACACGAAGCCCTCATTTCGGACCCCGACGTATTACAGGTAGCTTGGACACTTGCCCGAAAGCTCGAAGAAAGCAGCAACCATCCGATCGCTCGAGCAATTTCGACTTTCTGCAAGGAAAAGCCCTCCGTCACGATCACCAGCGCAGACATCGAAGAAAGGTCGGGTCAAGGAATGAAAGGCACGTTCACTGTATCAGTGCCGAATCCCAACGAGAAATCCGAGACACCTACTCAATACGAAGCTGCCATCGGCAACCAACGTCTCCTACACAGCCTAGAAACATCAGACTACGACGAAAGCCACCTATCTAAAACCCTCTCGAAGTACCAAGCTGCCGGTAAATCAACCGCCATCCTATCTCTCCGCTCCCAAAACGAACCCTCCTTCACCCCGGCCATCGTCTTCGCCATCTCCGATACCATCCGACCCGACACCGTCGAAGTCATCTCCAAGCTCCAAAAGCGCAAAGTCAATGTATACATGTGCACCGGCGACAACAAAACAACCGCGCACGCCGTCGCCGACATGGTCGGCATTCCGCGCTCCAACGTCATGGCGAACGTGATGCCAGCAGGCAAAGCCGATTTCGTGCGTCAAATCCAAGACAGCAGCAACAACTTCATTCCGCAGACCGACTCCGAAGCAGAAAGTCAACGAGCCCCAACAAGCAACCGCTCCATCGTTGCCTTCGTCGGCGACGGCGTCAACGACTCCCCCGCCCTCGCAGCAGCAGACGTGAGCATCGCCATGGCGTCGGGATCCGACGTCGCCATGAACTCCGCTAGCTTCATCCTCCTCAACTCGGAGCTCGACACCATCCTACAACTTGTCCTGCTTAGTCGTCGCGTCTTCAACCGCGTCAAGTTGAACTTCGGTTGGGCACTGATTTATAACTGCTGCTTGGTGCCTGTCGCTGCTGGCGTCTTCTATCCGATCGTTAGTGGGCATAAGCATGAAATGGTCGGTGGGGAGCTTGTGCTTACTGATACCCATTGGAGACTGAGTCCCGTTTGGGCAGCGTTGGCCATGGCGTTGAGTAGCATTTCCGTCGTTTGTAGTAGTCTGGCGTTGGGAATTAGTCGCAGGTCGATTAAGAGGGTGTTTGGGTTGGGTGGGTAGTTGCTTAGGTGGTCATGGTTTATGTTTTCCTCAAGGAACATGGGTTCGGGTTGCCCCATATGGGTATGATATTTTGCTATGGTGGTATTTTTTCCCCCCGACTATGATATTTGATGAGAGCTACGGTTTGGTATTCGGGCATTGCTATGTATGACGGATGAGACTTGAATCATCCTGGTGATGATGAGATTGAATGTCAATGACTATTTACGTGTGAACTTATTAAACTATATAAGGCTGTAGCTGCTATGGCTTTCCAAAGGCGTGGGGCATAAAGCATGCTTTAGTAAGAAGCCAAGTAGGCATTTGCTAGTACTAGTCGTTTGTAGTGTATCTGAGATTCTTGTCAGATGTTCTCTTTATCTAATTGACTGAATGTACTGGTCACCAAGTCACCAACAGTGCGCTTTATATAACAGTCATCCTACAAATTGAATGGCTTCCGCTCTCATGCATCACTCGTGATTTATTCCTAATATATCCTCATACTTCTAAAAATGAATCAACCATCCTCACCCCATACCTCTGCGATCTTCTTACTCAAAACCTTCGCGATCTTCTTCCGTCCAACGAGCGTGTGCATCCGTTCTGAAACCATATCCTCCCGGTCCTTCGGATCAAGCTCCTCAAAAGCACGGATAAATGCTTGCGGAGTCGGCCACCTTCGTTGAATCTCGAGTGCCTTTTCGCCTGTCACGCCCCGGATGCACATGAGCATTTTCAGGAACACGTCACGGAGGGTTAGGACGTCGGATTTGGAGGTTAGGGCGGAGAAGGTGGAAAACGTCACGGCGTAAGTGGTCTTGGGGCTCTCTGCTCGGAGACGTTCCAAGGCTGTGAGGTATGATTGGGAGGAGGAGAGCTGGCGACTAGGGATTAGACTGAGGGTGTTGGAGGCTGGTTCACCGGTTGCAGAGGGGTTGAACATTCTGCGCAGTAGGAGGGTCATTCTAGCTAGGTATTGGATCGTGTCGTCGAGGTTCTTGGTTCTTTTGACGAAGTAGCCGTTGACAACTTGTGTTGAGGCTATGGCGGACGCTACCATTTCGTTGTATTTGCCTGCCATGGCGGTGTTGGGGTCTGAGGGGACGGTGAACTCTTCGATGAGATAGATGACGTTTTTCACTCCTGAGCGACGGAGACGGAACTTTTGTTCGTGGAACCGTCCGTCTTTCATGGAGCTGATGAGATCGTCGATTCTTTTACGCTCAACGATCCAGTCGAGCATGACTTCGTCGCCTTCTTCGCCGTATTGGGATAGGAACGTTGGGTTGTGGAATTTGGCTACCCACATGACGTCGCCTAGTTCTAGTGCGCGCACTTCAGGACTGGCTCCCTTTTTGTGTAGTTCGTTGGTAATGTAATCCCTGTCTTTGGATGAACGGACTTCGCGGTTGTCCAGAACCAGCTGGACTGTGAAGCTGTCGGGGGGAATTGTAATGGGGGTTACTGTTCCGTGTGGGGTAGGTTCCCATCCTTGGGTATCGTTATGGGCTGTGGGTGCTTCGTCGTCGATTACCTGTGTGATGTTGCCACCTATGCTGTCCTGTAATTGGGAGTCCCCTGTATGGGTTGTACTTGGCCCCTACGCACGTTAGATGTTGTCGTAGCAGAGTGGGTAGTGGCCTTGTTACCGATTGATTTCCAAACGCCAAAGTGCCTTGATTTGACGGCAGGGCGACCTTCTTCATCCTTTTCGCCACCTCCCAACCCTCTTCTGTGAGTGCATACTTTTTCAGAGGTCGTCCGAAATCATATACAATCTCCTTTTGCAGAAGCGTCTTCATTGAGCTCCAGGCAGTATGGAACTTGGACGACTCGGCAGGTGCCGTGAAAGAACTATCGCAGTTCGGCTGTGCCAAGTCAATCAGTTGTGCCTTGGTTAGGCCCTGAGAAGAGTTCTCATTGAGAGTAGCCAGGGCTAAGATCAACGCATAAGGCCCCGATCGTAGAGTCGGGACATAAGGCCTTGCCTTTCGAGGTTTCTTGGCTGGCTGGCTTTCTGCCGTGCCCTCATCGGATGCTCTTTTGCTGCTTGCCGCTACAATTCTTAGACCTGCTCGAAGATGACAGAACTACTAAGACTTACATTTCTGAGGATGCTCTGGCATCGGCAGCGCATTTTCTTCACAGTGAGCCTTTAGCTTCTCGGTCAAGCGATCACATAGTTTGGGGCCAAGTCCGTTCAGCTGCTGAGCCTCGGAGGGGTGTTGAAAAACTAGAGGACAGGCTTTCATCGACTCGTAGGCCTTTTTATATCTGTGCATCATCAGCATCAAGCCCTACGCTTGTAACGAGTTATGGGATAGCACCGACACTATGGCACCCTTGCTGTTGCGTTCTCGAGCCTCGTCTAGCCATTCTTTGATCCACCCCAGTAGTAGGGGATTAGCACACGTCTCACTCATTGTTACGAATTTAATCGCATTGACATGGTGCGGGAAGAGACAGAAATAAGGGTGTCATGCAATCAATCCCATAAGCAATTCTGATGTTCCTGAATAGAAAACTAGAATGGTGTTCTAGGCCTGGGAGGCGGAGATCGAATCTACTGGTCTGGAACGCGGCATCGGGATGTCCTCACGCGTATTTCCTATTTAGGCAGAATTGCTTTGCGCCACACAATAAGCCACATATGTGGCGGTGCGATTACCACACTAGGTTTTGATTGGCTGGGTTATCAAGTATGCAGTCGCATCGGCGCCATTGATCTAGAGTACAACGTCTATTCCAATTGGTAATTAAAAATCGAAGGCAGCGATCGATCAGGTAGTAAGCTACTCTAAAATGCCCCTGATCTAAGAAGATTGGGTCGAGGTACCGTATGCTGACGCACTCCTGAGATTCCAGGCTTTTGCACGATCGGTCCGTGACGACACAGCCATGACGTATTGCCTACCCCGGCTTTCAAGAGACCCTCAAAGCGCATCTCCTTTCCCCATTTTTGAGCCCATAATTGCTCTATTATACATGCATCAATACTAAGTTCTTGTGCAATATGTCACGGAGGGATCCAACAAAACCAGCAGAGCCTGTCGCGTATAGCTCGAAGACCAGCGGCAACGATATCTTCGCGGCTGATCGCGTCACCACCGAGATTAGCGGTCCAACAGACAGTCATATTCTTTCTAAGGTGGATCAAGATGATAAAGGACTGGCTCAGAAGGCTGGACAAACAGACACTGTCACGGATGTGGGCTGGAATCAACACCCCGACGAGCTTGACGAGCAGATCGTGTCCGGAATCTCAAATGAAGATCTTTGGATGCTGATTCGACGTTTCAACAAGGTACGGCGCCTGCACCCTTCAATACTAGACCGCAGACTGACTCAAACACAGCAAATCTATTATGTGAAAGCGGTGCCGCATCCCCCCCTGCAACGACTGGACCTCAACCGGGCCGAAGATGAGCAATTCTCCCCTGATAAGCTGCGCGCTACCCTTGAGCGATTCTACACAACCATTATCGTCTCGTTAACTTCATTCGTCAATCATATTGCCAGGCTACGCTCATGGAGGGAGCGCCAACGGACAGCGGCATTCTGTGCTGTAGGTCATATCTGGACGTCCTTTCATCTCTGACTCGGTTGACTGGTGTTGAATTTTAGGTTTATTTTGCTGCGTGGGCCTTGGATCTGCTTGCTCCGACAATCTTCACCCTTCTAATAGTGCTGGTTATTAGTCCTGATAGCAGGTCATACTTGTTTCCTCCTGCTCCTATAGCTCTGGTGGATAAGGATACCGGTGGCGTGCAAAAGCCCAAAGCCGGCGTCTTGGGTTCCCATGATAGTATCGCTGGGGCACCCGAGAATATGAAGGGTGAAGCTGCCGAACAGGAAGCTAGCAACCTCTTTACAAGCGTTGCTAGTGTTGCTGTTGGTAGCGTTGCCGGCAAGCATGATCAAGGGACACCTGATGATGCCCCAATGGAAGATAATGCTCCAGATGTGATGAAGCTTGCTACCAGCGCAGCAGATGCCCAGACAGCTGCTCGTGGGGAAGCCCCGGACGAAGCTCATGATAAGACTAGGCAACCCATGAGAGATACCGTTTACAACGGTGCTAACATGGCAATGCGCGTGCTGAGCGACATAATTGACACCTATGAACGGTTTGGCAAGTATGTACAAATCGCAGCACCGAAAGCCACACTTATACGTTCTGACCTGCTATAGCGCTTTGTCACCAACTCCTCCGTTCTCCATCGTGACTCCCTACGTCCGCCTAACAGCCGTGCTATCTGTTGGTTTCCTGATCTCACTCATCACTTCCAGCTACGTCTTTGTCAAAATGATTACTTTCGGTACTGGATTCGCTTTCTTCGGAGACCCGATCATTTGGCGTGGTGTGGCCTACTTGAATCGCGAGTACCCCCGATGGGAGAAATTGCTCGAGCTCCAGAAGTACGCAACCCCGATCTCTTCAAATAAAACATTAACATAGTGCTAACACCCCACTAGCTCCCTGCTGAAAGGAATTCCCACCAACGCACAACTCACCCTAACTCTTCTCCGAATCGGCGAAGCCAACGGTGCCCCCCTCCCACCACCACCATCCCACTCCCTCCACCAAACACCATACCACCCGGCCCCCATCAACGACAAGGATATCAACATCTCCGCCTCAGAAGAAGAAATTAACCAAGCAATCGCCCCCTCCCCCGAACCCGTCATCGAAGAACACGAAGTACACCCCAAACCCCACAAGAAAGGCTTCATGAACCGCATGATCGGCTTCTTCCGAGGCACCACCGCCACAGGCATCCAAAGCAAGCTCGCCGTTGACCGAGCCCGCGCAGCCGCCGGCTCCAAGCACGCCAAACCCCGCGTCGGTGTGCTCCGCAGCAAAGGCAAACTCACCCTCCCATCAGGCCCCATCCAATTCGATGGGCGATACAAAGGCAAGCGGGGCGTCGTGGTGCTCGACCAGTCCCAGAAGCCACCATTGCTTTACTTCACGACGGACCAGACCGTGCAGTTGGATAAACCTGGTCTGGAACATCGGCCGAAAGGCACAGTGCTGTTCACGATGCCTGTGACGGATATTTTGGAGATGAGGAAGATCGGTGGACTTGGGTGGAAGGGGAAGTTGGTCACGGGTTGGGCTGTGGGTGAGAGTAAGGAGGTTGTGGATGGAATGGTGCTTACGGGGAGGTTGCCGGAGCAGAAGTACCAGCTTACGGCTATGAAGACTCGCAATCAGTTGTTTAATCGACTGGTTGCTATTGATGGACAGGTTTGGGAAAGTTATTGATCTTGGTTTGGATGCTTGCTAAGGTGTTTTTCAGGTTTGGAAGTAGTGAGGTCTCGAGCTTTGTTGAGGTGGTGAATGGTATGATGGTTAGGAATTTGTGCATATGGGAAAGTTGGAGATATGGTCACAATGGGTTTTGTGTACAGATGTTTTATTGTACTGGTATAATTGTATGAATATGAAGTCTACTTACATGTCTAAACATCCATGAAGAAAACATCGTGGGCAAAGTACGGAATGTGGAGCACGAGTATTCATTGCTGTCCTATCTCCACTTGATAATCTCTTACTGCTTGCTCAAACGAAGAGTCCCGCTTGAATCCCAAAGAAATAGCCTGAGAGTTATCGAAGCGAGTAGGCCAAGAGTCCAAGATCGGCCTGAGGGTCGGATCCTCCTTCTCCGTTAACAGATCCAGCTTATCCTTCCCTGCAACCTTCTCCAAAGCATCCATCATATCCTGAATAGTAACACAAATACCAGGAACATTAATCTGTCGAATATGAGGAGGCAACGCATCCTTCGACAACGATAAAGTATGAACAAGATTACGAACCAGAGTCTTGGGCGAGCATAGCCAAGACTTGAACGACCTATCCTCCAGCGGAATGACACACTCCTTGCCGTCGAGCGGCTCGCGGATCATCCCAGAGAGAAAAGACGAAGCAGCGGCCGTTGGACGACCAGGCCGGACAGAAATAGTGGGAAACCGAAGAGTAAAGCCCGTGATAAAGCCACGACGGGTGTACTCATTGATGAGAGTCTCACAGATGATCTTCTCGGCGCCGTAGGATGACTGCGGTGTCGGGATGACGTTGTCGTTCACTACTTCGGGGAGTGGCTGGCCGTAGACAGCCTGACTTGAGGAATAAATCACCCGTACGCCGGGACAGGTTCGGCGGAGAGCCTCAAGCAGGTTCCGGGTGGCGTCTACGTTGACGCTCATGCCTAGATCGAAGTTGGCTTCTGAGCCGGATGACATGATTCCGTGGAAGGCGTAGACGGCGTCGAGGGATTTGTCCACGACTGCGTCTGCGCCTTTCAGAAGGTCTGCTGTCACTGAACGTGCATTTTGAGGGTATGCGACGTCTGTGGGGATTGGGGGCTCGTTGATATCGGTTAGTGTGACGGTGTATGATGGGTCGTTGAGGAGTTCCTTTGCGAGGAGTTGGCCGATGAAGCCGGCTGCTCCGGTGATGAGGATTTGCATTTTGAAGGGTTAATTGAGGGGATTAGTGGTTGTGGAGGGAGGAAGGCGTGGGAATTGGTTGTTTGTTAAGGCACTATCAAGTAGACACTACCAGTAGTATGCTCAGCTAGCTAGCGGTCGTCATTGTGGGATCGTCTCGCATTAACTCCGAGGGTAGGATATAGCTTGTGCTCCGCAGCCGGACTTTTCCCGGCGCAAAATGCAGTCCATGACGTTTTGCTCAGGAACTGCTCTGCTCTTCTCGGAGGATCTGCAGGTTCTTCTGGGATATGTTTAATTGTACTCAGATAAGATTCGAGAGTGTGGTTATTTTGATTGTTACCCCTCGATGCGCCTTGTGGTTACTTGCCACGAGAAGTTGGACGCGGGGAAAGTGGTGAGTGGGAGCTGGATAGAATTGGTTGATGCATTCTGTGGAATACAAGATATCAGCATCCTTGAACGACAGACAATTGAGATCTTTCTCGGTCTCCTCATCCTGCCATTGTGCGCAACAGGGACATCAGGGACTGAGTGAGACGGTCGGGGGTAATTGAGCCGTGGATACCGACTGGCGGTGCCCCGCATTCCCCAGATCCCGTGCCTGTTGCTGGCCTGGAGAGAAAACATTGAGACCTGAAGTAGTTTGCAGCTTGTCCAGTGTGGTACATAGAAGGCTATGCCAATAACAGAATATAAAGAGTATGTAGGGAATAATTATCTGTAGAGCTGAGTAAATTGGACAGTTGATGGGTGAGTTTTACGATGACAATGGGGAAGAAATGCTCGTGTCTTGGAAATCCCCCATGGCGCCAATTGAAGCGGGGTATGCCGCCATCGCCAGATTTGTCTGTCTCCATCCCACTCACTCTTCTCCCTCATCGTTGAAGTTTTCTTCCCTCGCATCTCTGCCTCCCTCTGGACCCTTCAGTGGATATTGGTTGTTCCGCCGCAACTAGTTTGAACAGACAAAGCAACACTATCTGACTAGCTTGACATTTAATCTATTGGACTTGGTCCGTCCCCACTATTGTCAATCCCATATTGGCTGCAGAATACCGGAGCATCCCCGATCAGTTCTTAGTCCATGATCGAGCAACCATGAAGCGCTCCTCGCAAGATGCCGACTTGGAGGCCCCACGACCACATGAACGTCGACCCTCTCTCGTTCCTGATGGACGCCCTGCGCCACCCAAGATCTCCAAGGCCCGCGCTTGTGAGTACTCAGAGGCCGGACTGCAACCGAGGCCCAAGCAATTAGCTTCAAGGTGTGCTTGGGCTTGATGAAACTAGAAGTTTGAAGCTGATGCTATGGATATATAGGCGCGGAGTGTAAGCGTCATAAAATACGCTGCGAGTTCAAATCAGGAGAGGCGAGTTGCACCAAGTGCATTCGCAGCGGGATCAAATGTGTGGTCAATGATTTCTCGCAGAAGTTCGTCGACGATGATGTGATGTGAGTCTCTTGCCATTCGGGGCTTTCCTGCAGGAAATGCGGAGTATAAGAGCTAATTCCGACTGTTCTGCGCTGGGTACAGGTGGAAATCACAAGCATCGGCTACCATACAACAGCTTCAGGCGGCAGTCTCGCATCTTCTACAACAAGGAGGTCTGCCAGATCTATCGACCTTCATCTCTGGTGACAGCCAGAGCGGCCCCAGTCCTGTCGGCTCTCAGTCAGAGCGTCGCTTCTCATCCGAGGCATCACCCACTGATGTCAAACCCCGAGAGCCGGGTATTGTTATGGATGTGACCCGGGAACCTTCCCAAGAACCAGACTTACAGGACCGAGAGCTAGTACCAGCACCAATGCGCAGTTTATACGAGGTCACCAAGCTCCGCAATCTGCGGAACAATCCCATAGAACAGCCGAAGCTGACGCTTCTGGAGGAGGACTTCATCTCCAGAGGGCTGATCTCGCTTCATGAAGCCGAAGAGCTGTTTGCCTACTTTAGCAGAACTATGAACCAGCTTCTCTGGGGAGGGATAGTCTTGGTGCATCGTGATCTCACGTCTGTCCGACGAGCATCGACATTACTGTCAGCAGCTGTTCTAACAGTCGCTGCCCTCCATATACCGAATCGAACGGAGACGCTCAACCGTTGCTACAACGAGTATGTATCGCTTGTGTCGAGCATGTCATTGACAAGGGCGCACACACTTGATGACATTCGCGCTCTCTGCGTCGGAGCGTTCTGGTTATCCGAACTAAGTTGGAAACTTTCTGGGCATGCAGTTCGAATCGCAACGGAATTGGGTCTTCATCAAAGCTATCACAAATTAATGCGTGGTCATAACGATCAGTATGAGCGCGCTCAGCTATGGTATCTTCTGTATGTGTGTGACCATCACTTTAGCATCGCCTACGGGCGTCCACCAGTCATCCATGAGGATGCAGCAATCAAGAACTACGAATCTTTTCTTCAGTCACCAATGGTAGTGCCCGGGGATATTCGGCTACTAGCACAAGTTGCCTTGTTTATGATCCTGACCGAAGCGTATCGGACATTCGGGACCGACACAGAGCAAGCCCTTACCGAAGAGGACTTTGGGCAGTTACGCGTTTACAATGTAGCTATAGACCAATGGCGGCTGTTGTGGCAACCCCGATCTGGTACGTGCTTTTCAAGTCCTGTTTGGATTAAAGTCATTTTCATAGACTAACCGTCGTGACTTTGGACTGCAGCCGATAGCCCCTATGTCCGAACATATCCCTCGAAAGGGGTTGTGCTTCACTATCACTTTGCCAAATTTCAACTCAACTCACTTTCTCTGCGAGCTCTGTCACCGACAAATACCCCGGTCTTCTCCATGGACCGCAAAGAGTCGGCTAACATTGCCATCTCGTCTGCTATGGCATGTTTAAATATGGTATTGGAAGAGCCAGATATTCGCGACGCCATTGTTGGGGTTCCGATTTTCACCCACACGATGGTCACATTCTCCGCCGTGTTCCTCTTGAAAGTTGCAATAAACTGGAACTCTGCGTATCTCAGTCTCGACGGCCGCCAGGTGCGACGTCTGGTCGAGAGGGTGATTGAGCTGTTGAACTGTGTCTCGGCAGGGGAGAGACATCTGACGAGACATATTGCCCGGGGCCTTGGTAAGATGTTGGAGCGCTTCGACTCTTGGGACGCATGGCAAGCAGGAGGGGCACCTGTTGTAGCATCCGGGGGTGTTGAGCGCGCAGGTAGTAGTGATGTTCCTGGGGGTGCCAATGCCATGGCCCAGGGGTTTCCTCCACCGGATTTGATCTATGATATGGTTGGTACATACGGGTTTGGGTTAGATGAAAACCTCCTAGACCCTAGCATGGCTAGTTTCGAATTCTTAGCACAATGAGCCATGCCCTGATATTGTGGGCTGTAAGAGTCAGACTACTGAGGTCACAGTACATCGTAATCTGGATTACTTAATATAGATAGAGGGCTATAGGAGACCACCTTCCGGCCAAATCAAGGTGCTTCCACATCTGCCTCGTCGCCACTAGGGACATCATGAACAGTTGCAGAAAATGCTTGGCTACGCCCCCGACTCTGTCTCTGGGCTTTCTTGCCTGTCGCCTTGGTGAGAATATCTTTCACCTGCTCGAGGGAATACCCGAGCTCCGCTTCAATGGCTGCTCTATACTCCTTTTTCAGCTGCCTCTTCTGTCTTTCTTCCTCAAGAAGGCGCTGCTCTTCCGCCAACTTATAGTCTTCAATAGCAGCGCGCCGAATCTTGTTCTCGTGAATGAAACGTTCGCGTTCTTCGATTTTCCGTCGAATCTCTTCGTCGTGCAGCTCTTTCCTAATCCGGGCCCGCAGTCCCTCCTCTTCTTTCTTCTTCTTCATCTCTTTCCATTCCTTTTCGCGTAACGCAGCTTTGATTTCTTCTTTCCTCTTGGATTGCTCCTCGGCTCGTCTTTCGGCTCTCTTCAGGTTTGTTCGCTCCTCTTCCCTTTCCATCTCATCCAGTCTCTTTAATCGCTCCGAAATCTTGTTTTCGAACTCTACATCACTCTCTATCTCCATTCTGAGTCTCTGAACACGCAATTCTTTCTCCAGCCGGTCTATCTCTTTCTGCTGTTTGCGGATCTCACGGTCCAGCTGTGTGTCAGATGAGTGCACATCGACAATGGTAAACTCTGGACGTCGAGTAGGGAATGATGTATCGTGATGGATGGTGCCTGTTGCTCGGGGCCGTTGATGACGATATGGGAGATCAGAATCTGAATCCGTATGGGAGGACACCCTGACTTCTGGACGCGGCCTCTCATAAGACCGGCGCCTTCGAGCCGATCGTGGTTCTGAGGAAGGTTCATAAGGCGGGAAAGACGGAATGGCTCCTATAGCGGGGTTTTGTCGACTATCTTGGATAGGCTTTCTGTCCTTGGGTTGCCCCCTCCTCGACATGGGAATCGTCTCGACGACCCGGTCACTCGGAACAAAACTCATGTTGGTGCGAGCTGTACGGCAGTTGTTTGTAACCTACAGAGTTGCTGTGTTGCTGGGAACTCGAGAGCAGAATACCCCCAGGCGGGCGATTTGGCGCCCAGCGCCGCACAGATAAGCAGCCCGACACTTGCACGGGTCTTTGCCTAGCCTTGCTGGAACTATTGCGGGCAGAGTGGCTGTACCACAGAATTGGCCTATCCAGCCTCGCGCAATTGTGCCAATCAGAGGTTACTCAGGTAGTTGGGAATGTCACGATAGTATCCTTAGCGCTGACATGCATGCCTGCATCGAATCAGACCTAGAAGGTAGATGATTAATAGCCTTGGTCCCCATTCACGCTTCTCTACATGCTCTACGGGCTTTTAGAAGTTGTCAAGTCACCGCCACCGCTTTTTGTCATCCGATGTTATACAGGCTTCGCAAAGTTCAACTGCTATATGCTATGTCCTTCTTGCTGAGCTTTTTATCGATTTCTCAACCCGATAACCGTGTGGACGTTGTTCTCATCCCAAAGAAATCCAGGAGAGCAGCCAGGATCTGAATAAAGGTTATCAATGACGGATAGCGCAATAAAAGCACCAGCACCTTTTCAGGGCCTTCTGTATTTTCACTCTCTTTGCTATTCCTTGGTCCGGCTGCTCCGTTCGCTTTCGCTGGAGCCACCAAACTGGAGTTTGCGTGCAGTACAATCCTGGATGCCTGTAATCCTTCTTGGTCAACAGCTTGTGGTGTTCGAAAAGTGTGCACAGCATGCCCAAGCTTTGAAATGCACGCGTCTACTGGATCACCTGCGTCGCAAGACTCCCCAACATCCATCAATGTTTCCGAGGAAGAAACCGAGTTGAAGCCGGATGACCGCGCTGTCTCGGTGTGGTGCCCGGAATCCCCTGGATTGGGCAAAAGGCCCGGTAGACTCCCGATACATGAGTCTTCAAGCATGCTCTGTGCAGTGTCGGAGATGTTCTCATTACTCTCTGCGAACGATATCGGCAATGCAGCAGGGATCTGCACCGGAATGCGAAGGCAATTCTCTCTTTCCATAACCATGGGAAGATCCTGTACAAGACGATCTAGACGAGGGCCTGAAGGCTGCGCCACAACATTTGGATACACCAGAATATCACTGGATCCCTCGTCACTTTCATGACGGGATGGGAATCTCAACTGACGGACCTTTTCTTTGAAGCGGTCCCTGCCCTTCTGTAGCTTTCCTTTGATCTGAACCCGCATGAAGAAGGGCCTCCCCTCATGCTGGAAAGCAAAGGCAGTGCGGATCATATTGCTATGAATTGATTGAAACTCAGGGTCCTCCTCGCGTAGCTCCCACTTTATGGTACGATATTCTGAACCGGGCTTTTGCGCAGGGCGCAGGTTACCTGTGAATGTCCAACGGCTATCATAAGTAATCGACTTCTCGCTATCGACACCGATACCACCGCCGCCGTTTCCGAGTACAGTGACTTGAGGCGCAAGGTGCAATATCCTTTTCTTGACCACACTCTTTGGTTCTCCGCTGAGATATTTTGGCCCGTAGTGATCGGTTAGATGGAGGCGGACAGGCTTATTTGGATCTGGCTGGTGCTGGGGGGTGCCTTGCAAAGTGATTTTGACTGTGGCACTCAGTAGCCTACAGTCTGCGGGCTGGTCGAACGAGAGATCCATGTAAACAATGCCCGCAGGTCTCGATGCCTCGCCCAAGCATCCCCATTTCGACTGGGACGTCCGAAGTCGGCAGTCAGCGCGTGCTTTGCCGACTTTGCGGTGGCACACGCTAGAATCCTGAAGATCGTCAAGCTCGAGATATTTTCGACCATATCGCCGCTCGTAAGTCGGCCGCGAATCCCGACCGGTGGTGGATGATGAAGTTTGGGTGGTCCCCGACATAATTTGGGTGATGAGAGCAAGATGCCAAATCCCCAATCCCCGCGACCGTCAACATCGATTAAATAGTAAGGGAGCTTACAGCCAGTTAGTAGCGGGTTGTTGGGTGCCGCCTGGCACTGCCACCGGACAAACCACTAAGAGGGAGGCGCTAATGCAGACACTCCAGACGAGGCTGAATTAGCTCCTCAAATACGAACTGATATCTATTCCTCGTGGGCCTCCTGCAGATTTGCTGTTGCCGCGCTATTACTTCGTCAACAAGCACTCTTTCAAAATGAACGATATTCGGGAAAGGCCCTCCTTTGCTGGAGGAAGACGATCAGAAGATCGAAAAGACATCTTCAACCGTTCTTCCTGGGATGAACGAGCGGTTCATGGAAGTGCGCACGGTACCCTTGCTGTTCCCGACAGGAATGCTCATTTCTTCCGTGCGGAGCCCAATCACTCTGGAGAAGCAATTGTCGTTCGCAATGCTGCAGCTCATAACTACGATAATGGCGTTCCTTCACCAGATACCTCCCCTAGGGTACTACCGGTAGTACAGGATGGACCACAAAATCCTACGTCTTCCATCTGGACTCCTTCATCAACAAAAGATACGACCATACATTATGAGATGGACATTGTTGAGGACGTAGGAATTCTATTAGAAGAGTTCTCACGACTAAAAAGACTAGGCCATTTCCAGGAGGCGGAACAATACTTCCAAGATTCTTTATGTGCTTTTATGGAATTATCGCCAGTTACGATTGAGTTCGCAGACATGCTAGTCGAACAAGGCTCCTACGAGCGTCTACATCGCGTTCTGTTGCAGCATCAACAGCAGGAGCTGAATATCTCTGACGGTATCTCAAGCCTCCAGGAGGGTAGCCCTGCCAAGTTTCTGTACCAAGCGAACTTGCAACTCGTACAGGGTTTTGCGGCCATGCAGTCCCACGGATCTCTGGACGAGGCATATGGAAAGGTCCGATCCTTGGAGCGCCAAATGCGTTTCCTAAGGCGACGAAGGAGGAACGACCCGACACTTGACCTGGACTCGGCTGAAGTAGGAGTGTTTCCAAGCAGTTTCTGTGAGAAGAAATTACTAAGAGTATAGGCAGGTGCAAGTTATCCGTTATGCTCTTTTGATTCTATCGAAAGTTGAGCGAGAAACCGATCTGATCCTAGAACATGAATTCGATTGCTGGTCTAATTGGCACTATTTGTACAGATCTCTGGTGACTGAGGGCCGAGTATGGGATGTGCGAGACCTAATGCTAGCTTCTATCCAAGCGGAAGGTGCAGCAAATGCTTGGAACTTGATATTCGGAACAGAACTTGGTTCTTTCAATGAGCCGTTCCGCAAGCTGATGGACGACTGGTGTTTGCATCGGTATGATGAGTCAACATATCTCTCCATTCTGGATATTCTAGTATCTCTGAGTCGCAGTTTGTCTTCATGGTCTATCTCGATCCCAGAAAGACAGGACCTGCTCACTGCTCAACGATGCCTCCAATATGCGCAAGCCCTTGCAACATGCCTCAAAGAGAACAACCCGCAGCTGGTCAAATCTCGTCCATACCTTCAGTGGGTTTTGCTGAAGCGGAATTGGAGCGGAAGCTTCTACTCAATACCACAGATCTGCGAGGCCATCTTGACAAATTTCCAGGCCTGACAATATGGAGGGATTCTATTCCCATCTATCTCCCAATAAAGACGGAGAACCCAAAGTGGAAGGCACACCTAGACGGGGGACGGAACCATGATCTTCTTGTAACCGTTCTTCAGACAGCACAGGACCTGAATGACTACAGAACTGAGGTTTTATGCTTGGGTGAGCTAATCTATCGCTCGGTAAACACGAGCGAAAGGTTAACTCGGCTTTCCAGTCTCCAGAAGTCCATCCAGGGGGATGTTCTCGGCTATCAGCAGACTTTCCTGTCATGTTTTCTTCTTGCTCACACCACACAAGACTACAGGCGTCTTCTAGATGGCCTGAGAAATATTCGGGAATCGAAACGATCCCTGAGATTTGTCTATTCTCTGAGCGACTGGTGTGCAATCGTCATCGAACGGGCTATTGCACATTGTCTAGCTGAGGATACATCGCGTTCGGAAGAAGCTTTCCAAGACACTAACGAGGGATTCTCTACCTACCTCCCGCAGTACATAAAAGATCGGCTGGAGGGGCTCGGCCTGGATAAGGTCTACCTTGCGCCCCCAAGGACTGGAAAGCCTCACATTCCTGAAATACGACAACGCAGTAGGACAGATGTTCCTACACCGAATCAGGATACTCGACCCCACAATCCATTTGAGAGCTCGCGTGACGAAAAACATGGGCAATCCAAGTCACTATCACCTCTGCAACGACCAGAGCGCACGTACACAGGATCTGGGGAAAGCGATGGTGATGACGACGAGTATACCACCGACAGCAGCTTCGACACAGCTAGATCAGATGATGGTTGGATGGATGATGAGCAGGGCCATTCGACATCGCTCGTTCATAGGACTCAACAATTTGGACCAAGTGAGTAAATATTTTAAATTAGTTGCAGAATTATTACTAACCTTATCTAGTTTCCAGAAGTGCGACTGGTGAAGACGTCAGTAGTAGCATATATGAGGAATGAGTGTGGGACTCTGGGTTGTGGGATTTCAGGCTTAAACTGGCAATTAGGACACAACCTCTAAATAAATGATTTTCTCTTCTTGAAGGGTTCGACGAAGAAGTCTCTGTTAATTTGAGCCGGATTTGTGGACGTACGGAGTACACGTCCTCTATATCTCTACAATAGTATTGACTGTGTCATCTATCCGATAGATCTTTTAAAAATGCATAAACATAGATAAATATACACAATCAATGCAAGAACTTCCCCTTTTTACATGGGACAGGTACGCAGATCCAAAAGAATAGATTAAGAGCATCACTTCGATGTTGACTGTTCCAAGCCAACATCAGACAATGAGATGTTTGACTAGTTTGCAATAAATTCAAACAGCTCCTTCCGACCACAATCCACCAATAATCGGATGTGATTTCAGTTTGTCCTGTTTGCTAGTGACGTAGAGCGATGGCTGTTGCAGCTCGTTCTACACCCCATCGAGCGCGATATTCATCCATCAGAGGCATGGATGTCTCCGATTGAGGAAAGATGAGAAGCAATGCAAACAGCCATTAGTGAATGCTACAGTAACAATCTAAGACCTTGGTCCACTATAGATGAAGTATAAAGCATGAACTAGAGCATCCCGCTCCAGCCTTCATACTTCCAACCCAACTCACTTCCAATCCCATCTCATCCCAACACCACTACTCACTACTCCAGTATACAAAAATGACATCTCCCCAATCCACCACTCTCCCAATCGTAGCCATCGCCGGCGCAACCGGCCACCTAGGCAAACACGTCGCCTCAGCCTTCCTCACCTCCAACCTACGCAACCGCTTCTCGGAAATCATCCTCCTCTCGCGACAAGGTAGCCACCACAATACTACACCACCAACCGACCTTCCCCCCAACAGCCCCAAACTCACCATCCGCACCTACACCGAAGATTCCATCCCCAGCATCACTCGCGCCCTCCACGGCGCTACCATCCTCATCAACACCATCGGCCCCTCCGGCCACTCCTTCAAAGAGAAACTCCTACACGCCATCCCCCAATCCTCCATCGAGGTGTACTTCCCCTCCGAATTCGGGGTGAATCACTACGTGCACGACTTCCCGCATCTCGAATGGGACGCGAAGAAGAAACACATGGCGCTGGCGGAGCAGCTACTACTACTTACTACCCAAGGCCCGAAGAAAGTGAAGATCTGTCGTGTCTTCTGTGGGTTGTTCCTGGAGGATAGTATTGGTCCGTGGTTTGGGTTCGATACGAAGCGTGGACGATATGAGTGTGTTGGGAGTAGTAGTGGTGAGGTGAAAGTGTCGTTTACATCACTCGGGGATGTCGGGAGGTGTGTGGCTGCGTTGGCGAGTTTGGGGAAGGATGAGGTGCCTGAGGTGGTGCATGTTGCTGGGGATAGTAGGAGTGTTAAGGAGATTGCGGAGATTATGGGGGAGTTTGGTGGTGGTGAGATTGAGGTGGTGGAGATTGGGTTGGAGGGGTATAAGAGGGAGGTGTTGGAGGGGATGAAGGAGTCGTGGGATCCGGCGCCGTTCTTGAGGTTTTTGATGGGGGAGGGCAAGATTATGCATACTGCTAGGGTTGGTGGTGGGTTGGGGGATGATCGTGAGTTGGTTAATCCCGGGGAGAGGTTGTGGAAGTGGGAGACGCTGAGGGATTTGGCGAGGAGGGAGGGCGGGAGGCCTTGGGAGGATCATGTGTGGCCGCCGGTGAAATAGAGGATATAGTTAGGGTTTAGATTGGTATTTGTTTAGGCTGCTAATGTATGTCTGTTTCGCATATTATGTTGCAGTAGTTGCAGTAGGTGGTGACTGGGGGTTGGACATCGGGTAATTTGCATGTCGCATGTAAGATTGCAGGTTATGATGGATGAATTGGGGAAGCATCAGTGCCGCTGTGGGGGGATCAATCAATCTTGGTCTGTGCTTTTCCAGAAGAACTTCCGCATTGCGTTTAGCCTGCTTGCATGAAGTACGGAGTAACTGGTAAGATTGCAGCATGTTTTGAAACAGATATTCATGTATGGGGGTATCGATACGCGCAGGATTTCAATCCTGACATCATGATTATTGCTGCTTTTGGTGTCCGGGCCGTACTTTACTTCTTGCTGCCACGGCCTCGGATGGTTTATGAGCACAACCTCCTTGGGGTATCGTTGTACCTGTCACAAACACCAGAAACACCAGAAACAACCCCCCCTTTTGCCCCGGAGTGTCTGTGCGCGTCTTTCCCCGTCCTGCTTGCTTGTGCTTGTATCTCGCCAGGCACGGTATTTCTCATGTAACCTCTACCTTACTTACCATACCTTGTGCTCACTCTCTTCTCTTCCTTTTCGGATCTTTGTCTTTCTCACCCATCCATCCATTTCTCTCCATCTCGGCCTTTTTCTCCAGTGTGGATTCTCCGATCCATCCACACTCACTCTCTCTTGTCATGCAACACGGTCCGGATCACCACCGAGATCGCAAGAGTCATCGTCATGGATGGATCAACTCCGCCTCAGACCCAACGGATCATCCTCACTCGGGGCTGTTTCAATCCATGGTGAGCTGAGGGAAACCGACCATCATCAACGCGAAGTTGTGTGGGTGGTACACGCACCCGCCCCTCTTGTCCACCCTCGGGCGACTCTAAACCCCACGGCCAGTGGTGGCTTATGTCGACGGCCAGCCGCGACAAGCAGCGTGCCGGCGCAACTCCAGCTCTCGTTTCTTCTTCTGTCTAGCTCCAACCCTCTTGACTGCCACTGCGCGCTTTTTCTTTGCGCCAGGCAGTGCCCATCCATGCTTGGGGAGGGAGGGTTACTGCTGACTCTCGCCGTCGCTGAAGTAATGCTCACCCATTCCGTCCCTCCCCCCTTCCCTCATGTGCTGGGGGAAAGGCTGCTGTTGCTCTGCTGCTCGTCCATTACCGAGTTCCTCCTGCCTGCCTTGCCCTGCCCTGCCCTGCCCTTTAATTCTCCCTCCTCCCTCCCTCCCTCTCTTTCCCTCTTCTCTCTCCCTCTCCCTCTCATCCTTTTCCCTTTTCTTCCCCTCTCACTAGCCCGTTCATTCCCCTTTCGCTTTGCTCTTACTGTCCCTGCATTGCGCCTTCCTGGCCTGGGACTCTCTTGACATCTGTATACTTGCGCCATTGACCTGGCCTACTCCTTTATTACTTAATACACACTCTTAATCTCTCTCTATCCTTAAGCGCCTAACGCGCTCTGAGCCATGTCCACCCGTAAGAGAAAGCAAGAGGCTGAGGAGGAGGAAGAGCTCCAAGCGCTCCCTAGCGACGAGAGCGAGGAAGAAGAAGAGTAAGTCGCTTACTGCATTGCCTATTGCCAGGATGTTCGCGAACTTGAGCGCATTCTTTTCATTACCCCTGCTGGTTCAGCTATCTGCTCTACTTTCATTTCACTCTTGGGTGACCTCTGCGCGCATCACTCAGTGGCGCTTATTGGTGGCATTCAGTCGCGTTATCCTCTGCTTGCTTGCCCCCACCAGTTAAACCTCATTTACTGTTGACCTTTACGACTCATGGATACAATGGCTGATTTGGTACTACTACAGATATGAAGACTCCGAAGTAGCCGAGAGCGAGGAAGGAGAGGAAGAAGGAAGCGAAGAAGAGGAGCTTGAAGAAGAGGAGGAGGGTGAAGAGGAACCAGAGGAACAAGGTGAGTTCACTCTTCTAGTCTCCAATCATGCTACGTATCTCTTACTAACGAGTATTCTTCTCCTAGCAGCTCCTCCGGCTTCCAAGAAGCGAAAGACAGCTCCGGCGCCCGAACAAGAGGAAGAAGAAGAAGAAGAGGGCAAGGAAAATGGCGAAGCTGAAAACGGTGAAGATGAGAACGGCGTCGATGAGGAAGAGGAGGAAGCACCGGAAGGCGAAGACGACGCTGAGGAAGCTCCTGAAGAGACAGCAAAGACCAGTGCCCCTGCCGCCGCTGCTAGCAAGGCCAAGGCTGGCAATGTACCTAAGGAAGCCGAGGCCGATGCTGCTGCAGAGGAGGAGTGAAGACCTTCAAGCATGGCGTTATAATGACCCGCCAGTATTGATTGCTGTCGCGCTGGCAATATTTTATTGATTATTCTATGATCATTTGCGCGGATATAGTACCTAATGCATATGCTCCTATATCCTGAAGACCAGGCGAAGCCATTGTTATTATCTTTAAGTAGCTGTATCCACAACCTAAGCACAGTAGATGGGTGGTACGGAGGAGTCGGAAATATCTTTGGAGAAGCGCATGATGGCTACTCCGCACGGCGGCTTAGCCGGGACTTCCAGCTAGATACTAAGTCATACTATTTACTACTACCCATCTGGACAGATAGCTACTAGGGCAACCGAATCAACCTATCAGATGGTGCACAGCCTCTTGTTCGCAGTCCAACCACATCCTCAATTTCGATTGTAATCTGGGTATTAATAGTATGAAAAACCAAATCATAAAGACAGAATAGAAGTCAAGAATAAAAATAGAATTAAATAAAGTCACACGAAGGAAAAGTAGAAAGCGCATCACATCAAACAATAGGTGATATCGGTCAACAAGTCCATACAGAATGTAAGTAGTAAGTAGTAGTAGGAGGAGGAGGAAAGAAAGTAAGTTCTCTTTTCCTTCAACGCTTTCATATCCCTTGAATTTCACCCCCACTCTCTAATAGATACAATTTCCTCTTTCGTTCGTCATTTCGACCGTCTGTCCTCTCCCGCCTCTTTCCTTATTTCTTAGGTATCTTCTATATCATAAACCATAGGGAGGGGTAGGAAGAAGTAAAGGATGGAAGACGGAAGTGATTCTACACTACCTTCTTTGTAACGGTAAGATAGCGTAATCTATCCTAGGTTGAAGATTTAACCATCACTACCGCTGCTGCGGAATGTGGCGCACAGTTGGCAGTACTGATGGGTCAGATCGAGAACAGGTTGAGGAAGGTTCGTCGCTTGGACTATACTCCGGACTTTGACGGCACCTTCGTCTTCGATAAGTTTGCGGATCAGGAATAGGAGGTCAGGAGAGAACTAAATAAGAGAAGAGTGTGTTGTTAATTTCATCCTTATCGTTGAGAACAAGGGGAATGTGGCACATACCTCGGAGTACCAGCGATACTGCCATGCGATAAGACGGATCAAGGCGCCTAGCATTCCTCTCGTGTCATTCTTCTTCTCGTACAACTTGAGGAGCCCCCGCATGGCTTTCGGGGAGAAGCGGATGGCCAGACAGTGCTGATAGGCTTCGATGCCCTCGTCGAAATGGTGCAGGCGTTCGGCCAACTCGCCGAGAATTTCCCATTCCGTGGCGGATTTCTTGTACTCGATCGCCTGTTGGCGATATTGGGCCATTTCGGTGCGCCAAATGGTGTAGATGCGGAGGTCTTCGTACAGCACCATGAAGAGGTTATCGAGCCATCTTTCGCACAGACGCTTGTTGCGGAATTGTGTGTAGGATGAGTGTGAGGGGTCAGGCTAATAGCACGGGCGCGTCAGTATGGGCTTGGATGGTGTTATTGGAGGTGTAAACTTACATCTTCGCTGCCTGATTTGACGACTTCCGATGCCATCGACTGCTCTGGTTTCTCAATCGAGTGCTCCGGTTCCTCCTCCTTGGTGCCGTTGGCACCATCCTCCGACGTGCCGTTCTCCTGCTCACTGCTTCCATTCGGCTCGTCTGATGCGCTTGCCGAGGAGGGTGTGGTTGTAGGCTTAGACGTAGACTGCTGGCGCTCAACACGGTATTCTTCTTCCATGACAAAAACTTCGCTGCGGATTTTCAGGAGTTGGTCCCAGCCTATCGCGGCAGCAATCTTGGTGAGGAGATTGTACGCCTTCAGGAAGGTTCCCTGATAGGCAGCAGCGTGGAGTCTGCGTAGTGAGGGGTGGACGTAATCGTGAGGATCACCCTGCTTGGGCTGTCCTTCGTCGATTTCGTCCAGCATGCTCTCAGCAAGAATTGGGAGCATGATGCGAGATGGTTGGGGCATACGAGGGGTGTCCTTGTCCTGGTATGTGAACATGGGGCAGGAGTTCAGGGTCAGCAGGGCCAGATCCCATTGCTCGAGGCCGACGTAGACCTCTGCCAATCGTGCCCAAGTGCTGAACTCGCTTGGCGCAGCAGTCACTGCCCGCTTCGCACACTCTAGAGCCATCTCACCCTCGTTTTTGCCCTGGCAGAAATTGGCCTGGCAGTCAAGCAAGGCATAATCCATGGGGACGTCTTGTAAGGCATCGAACATCAAGCGTACGGCTTGCACCTCTTCGTCTGCCATGATGAGAACTCGGGCAAGAAGTGAGGAGACCTCTACGTCTCGTGTGCGAAGTTTCTCGAAAAGGTTGATACCAGAAGTGTAGCGTCCCGTTGTTTGAATGTACTTCAGAAGACCGGACGTCAGGTGGTTACTGACGGTATTCGGCACTTGTGTTTCCGGATCAGAACTGAGCTGTCTTCCTGTGTTTGGTATCAGCATTGGGGTCCGTTGGCAGTCAACTGTGGAATCGCACCCAAGAAGAAGAGTCTCTCCGCAGCATCCAGGAATTTGTGCTCCATCTCCGTATTCGTGACCGGGTTGAACCGACGCACCCCGACTATTTTTCTGATCGCATCACCACCACCATTGTCCGCGTATGAGTAGGCTCGCAGGATTCCACAAAGAAAGGTCTCCAGCCAAAGGGCTTCCGTCGCAACTCGCTTGTCTCCGCGTTCGTCAATGCAGTAGCTTTCCAGAGTGCCGGGGATTTTGACTTCGACGCGCATGTCCAGGTGGGAGAAGGCATTATAGCAGCTGTTCATCCATTAACACTTGCGCAACGATAAACACTTCCAGGCGAAGATGTTTCTAACCAATAGATTCCCGAAACCACCTTGTGTGTCTTGTCGAGCGGAGAGAAAGTAAGCGTATTTACATAGGCGGCTAAACTGGCGGAGGAAGAGGCATCGACACCGGTGACATGGTGATAAACGCCGGTCTGTATTTCAATCCCAAACCAATTGAGTTAGCCATTGTCACTCCTCATCCTTAAAGTATTGCGTGCGCCCGCACTTCCGACGACGTACCTGGTGATGGGCGTTGGTCTTGGGTTGTTTAACCAGATAAACCAAGTCCGGGGGACCTAATTCCCGGAGGTTCTGTAGGGACTCGGAACGGGCATCGACAGCGGCGTAGATGTTCTCCTCCTCCTCATAGATCCTGGGGAAACACTCAGGGGTCAGTCGCAGGTCAATGATAGTGGGCCCATTTGGCCGATTGATAGCGAGTGATAGAACACGTAAACGAGGGCAAGACATACTCGGGAACAGCTGGCGCGACCATGGCGCTGGCAGGAGCGCAGACAGAGGCTCTGGGATGGTCACAGGGGGAAACCAAGGAGTATAGGGAGGACGAAGCGCTTTCACGACTGGGAGAAATTGAAGACAATGAGGCGCAGCAGAAAGCGCAGGTCGTTGTTCAAGACCAAACGGAATGGCGACGATCGATGAATGCCTGGTCGCTTCCTCAGGCAACTGCTGGGTCAGGTACCCCGGTACCGCCTTTGCCTCTTTCGGTAATTCCCGCCCGCGCAACGCGTGTCTGTCACGGGCTCTTTCTCCAGTTCCATTTATCGAGTCTCCAATTCTAGACTCTCCGTTCCTTCCATTCATCTTCCCCAATCTCCACTCCACGTCATTACCACCTTCCCAGGTTGGGCCTTCCCTCAGGTAGCCCGGGGTTGCTTGTCTTTCCTTTTGAAATGTGGTATAGCGGGCCCGGTTTTACTGCCACTATCAGGGAGCTCGTTGCGCCCTGCCATTAAACCGGCATTATGTCCAGCTGGGCAGCTTTGAATATTGAACCTGATGAAGCTATCGAGGAAGAAGTTGATGACACCAAAGAGATTCAAATTGAAGAGGCGCTTAAGCTCTATCAAAATGCCCTGAAGCTCCATTCTCAGGGTCCACAGTTCTATGCACAGGCCGAAGAGGCATATGATGCTCTGCTGAATTCTGAGATATTCAAATATCCCGAGTCAATCTCTGATTATAAAAGAGTAGCCACTCAGGAATCTGAACCTCAGTATGATGACACAGTGGTGGCGGGTGCGACAGAAGCGCTCGCGGAGTTCGACATCAGTGACTCTACGTCGAGCACGCTGATGCAAACCATATACCTATCGTACAAGAACCACGGACAGTATATCCTGGATGCGTTACACGCATCTCTGCAGGGTATCACCGAATCTGCTAAATTTTCTGGAGATCCCCGAAGCAAGGTCAAAGAGAAAACTAGCACAGCTTTGACGGCGTTTGCAGAAGCCCTGGAACGTGACGACTCGGATCTGAACCTCTGGAGACAGAGCGCAAGACTCTGTAGTGCTCTACAAAGCTATAGACTAACACGATACTGCCTTGAAAGTGTACTAGCAGACGACGACAACCGCTTAGAGGTTCGGACAGAGCAGCTAGGGTTGGAAGAAACATTTGCCGAGGAGCGCCTGCGTGAAGTGCTGCGGTCGCTGCTTGATAGGTTGTCTGTGGCTCAAGTACCCTTGAAAAAGCCGAAAAAAGCCCTTCTCAAATTTCTACAGCGCCAGGCAGACCCGTATCCCTACCTTCCCCCTCTTCCGTTAGATCTGCAGGACACAGATCCGTCAACGAACCCTCTTGCTCTAAAGGCTTCTCGTCATGAGATCAAACCAGCTAGCCCTACATGGGCCGATGTTGGCAAGTCGATCCTTCAAAGGCTCACTGATGAAGAAGTCGGCGCCTCAGAGATCGGACCTGGGGCTTCAGTTGGCATATCGCTGCCTACTCTCGGTCCTGAAACAAAGGCCGTAGGGCCTCAACGCCGAGCCTCAGATGCCCAGGGCGCGGATGGCAAATCCAACCAGCAGCAGGACGTCGTCATGTCGGAGGAGCATCAACCCACTGTGAAGTCCGAAGGGCCCGATGTTGTGCCAGAGCAAGTCGATGATCATTCATCTATCGATCAGCGCGCAGAGAAACAGCTCATGGAGTCGCTAGAGATTCAGTCGACTCA